CGGGTACGGGTACGGGTATGGTGTCATACCCGTACCCGTACCCGTACCCGGTTTAATTTATCGGGTTTTACCCGTACCCGTCCCCGTATCCGGTCAAACCGGGTATTCCCCGTCAAAGTCGGGACGGGTTCGAGTATTACCCACGGGTAAAGGTTTATTTGCCATCCCTAGATGAGGGTGGCTTATGGGGCAAACCACAAGCACCTTAGATGTCCTTGGCCACCTCAATATGGGGTTTGCTAATTCATAACGTGGGTTGCTGCCCTCAGCCTTCCATTGGCTTGTGATATTACTATTGTTGGTTCTTTCACATTTGATTGTGACTAGCAGATATATCATTTGAATTCAATTGCCTATGCTTTTCTTGGTAAATTTCTTTTGGCTAGGTTGGTATAAAAGAAAAATGTATCAGTTGGTCAATCTACATAAAATCAGAACTTTACAGCCCAAGCTAAGCATTTTATTTCTAGTAAGAATTAATATTTGATTGCTAATAACAAGTTGTAGTATGGTCCAGTGCATATAAACTGTGTAAGCGGTGGTGTGACCGTTGAAATATTTTAGAATTGAAGTATTTTCATGTGATTAGTGGCTTAGTGCAGTGTGCAGTCTTGACCTTATAAGCTATTCAAAATTTTCAATTAAATGTGTTTGTCACTGGAAGACTAAATTTTTTAAGAAAATTTGCCTTAGAAGGCATTGAGGGGTTGTGGATCATCCGGCCATGGGCTAACAGGCTTGATGCTAAGGGGCTGTCAACTGTTCAACTGAGAGCCAACTATAATAAGTTCCTACGCCTTTCCAAGCTTGTGCTGAGGGGTTGTTGTGAATAATTTGATTGAATGACCGACTTGCTAATGTTTTGTTATATGCCCAACCTTCTTAGTTGGCTTGTATGACCTATCTACTAACACAGTTCTGATGGTTGACCTACTAATGTGGCCAACGAATCTCTGTGCAGTTACAATTTGGAGAGATACCACACCTTGAGGAGTTCATGGGCATTGGACCTCTAGGCCCACTATAGTGGTTTCTAGACCCTTCCTGTAAATCTAGCTAAATCACCTTCAAATCACCCCAGGATGCATGTTACTGATGCTAACTGGACTCGTGGGTTCACTTAGAACTCTAAGGGTCTTTGGCACGTGCTTTCTAGCATGGACAGTAAATAATAACTATAATTTTTTCAGAGCAAATAATAAGTATAATTTGAATATGGAAATTCTTAATTGAATTGCCAAATTTGAAAAATAATTATCTTGATGATGTCTTTGGTTATTAATTTCTATTCTTTCCTTCTCCTCCCTTTGTACCTAAGTTCATGAAGTATCTTGATAATTTAGTAGAGACACTGTTGTTGCTGCTTTCTTCTTTTCCTATTGTGTTTTTGTCTCTTGTGCTTTTTAGTTATGATGATGAGAGTGATAGAAATGGGCAATAATGAATGATCATGTTGGATTCTAATTTTCCCTCTACAAAAGCACTTTGTCTTTTACTAGTCAAATTATTTCTGATGCATAGACGTATGTTTTACTTCCTACTCCTGGGGTTTGCTTGATTCTGCAGGTTACAACCCCATTGTTAAAATTCATGGCTGAGTTTGTGCTAAATAAAGCTCAACGCTTGACATTTGACTCTTCTTCTCCAAATGGCATACTTCTATTCCGGGAAGTCAGTAAACTGATTGTTGCTTATGGATCTAGAATTCTGTCTCTTCCAAATGCTGCTGATATTTATACGTACAAGTACAAAGGAATATGGATTTGTTTAACAATACTGTCAAGAGGTGAAATCCTAACCCTGTTGAAATATTTTTATTCCTTGAGCATGGTTTAATGTTCTGCTTGAGTTTTGCTAGCTGTGCTTGTAAGTTGCTGCAGCTAGTAAGTTATTTTACAACATTGCTTAATTGAGCTATATAAATTGCTGTATCTATTTATATACTTCTGATTCCGAAGAGAATACTTTAAGAGAGTATTTTAGTGAAATCCTTGAGTTGTATTATGATTTTTCTTGATTGAGTTACATGAAAGGGTGTATATCTATTTATATAATGAAGATCTAAGACAATATTTCAGATAGTAGACTCATGTTTTTTGCCCCATTAGGAGAAGGGGGAGAGGGACAATAGAGAAGAAATTGTTTAGAAAAATCTTAAGGTGGATAATATCCATGGGAATTTAGTCTTCAACTGAGTCAAATGATATAGTAAAATCCATGTACCCCTTCTAGTAGGATAAAATTGTGGAAGCTGATATATATACAACAATAATCTTTGCATGCTGATATTTACAAGAAAGATAATAATTTACAAATAATGAGTTAATGAATATGATCATAATCCGTAGGTTACATTTTATCTAGTCTACCAGGTTAATAGAGAAATTATTAATTCTGCAGTATTTAACTGATATTAAAGTAGCAAGAGTACTGTTTCTCCACTTTTATGTTGTCTTCTTTTCTTTTCATGAATTATTTGCTGGATAATAATATTATTAATGTTGCTATTGATAATGACTAAAAGAGTACATATTTTGAAGGCTGCTGATTAGATGTTGGTGAGGCAAACATTACTAAAGATCAACTCTCATGCTGATATTTACAACAATAATCTTTGCATGCTGATATTTAAAAGAAAGATAATAATTTACAAATAATGAGTTAATGAATATGATCATAACCCGTAGGTTATCTAGTCTACCAGGTTAATAGAGAAATTATTAATTCTGCAGTATTTAACTTATATTAAAGTAGCAAGAGTACTGTTTCTCCACTTTTATGTTGTCTTCTTTTCTTTTCATGAATTATTTGCTGGATAATAATAATATTAATGTTGCTATTGATAGTGACTAAAAGAGTACATATTTTGAAGGCTGCTGATTAGATGTTGGTGAGGCAAACATTACTAAAGATCAACTCTCATGCTTTGCACTGTACCTTTCTTTTTCATTTTGGGCTTTGGTTAGTGGTCTGGGGCCCGCAGTTGGTGCCTGTCATCTATAAATAGATGATTTCTATCAGTTGCAACTGACTTTTACGGAATCAGTAACACAGTTTTTTTTTTCCAGTTACATGAATCACTCTCCCTCTGAATTCTATCGAATATAATTTAAGTAGGTCAATAGTTAAGTTTGGGTAGACCTTGTACCAGTACAAAAAAAACTGAGTTTATTTAGTATTTTTTTCTTATCGGAGCTTCTGTTATTTTTCGTGAAATTGGGATAACCTCCCCTCTCCTAAAACTTCAATCCTTAAGAATGGGTTATTATGTTTGAGATTGATTGAATCTCGTTTCTCTATTTTTTTCTATTAATAGTATAAATATGGATTAGTGCTTTATGTTTTGTATCATATTGATCGTAAAGAGAATATTATGCAAAGTCTCTATTCTCTCAATTTCCACTATTTAGATAGAATCTTGTAATTTCAACACGTTTTATTGGTTTCTCTGCTTTGTACTTCAAAGTTTTGAAGGACCAAGTAAATGAACCATAGCATCAAACCTTACTGTCCTCCAACTTTAGTTCAAAATTTTATGAACTTTTAGAAGATGCAGTAATAGAAAAAAGAAGTTATTAGGAAAGTATAACTAGAAGAGGATGATATATCCTCTCCAAAATATACAAACTAGGTAAAAATAAGGGGGGAAAGAAACTAGAGGGCACCTTGCCCAATATTTTTGTGTATCTCTAGATTTTATATATAAATATGAAGGATATTCAGTTGCATGCAACCTGCACTTTTTTAGCAGGCTGTATTAATATTCTGTGCTGGCAGTTTGAGCCCACACTATAATTCTATCTGGAAACAGATATTCATGCGTAAGTAGATTGGATTGCTGTGGTCATTGAATTGCTATTTGAGCTTTGGTATCATAAATCCTTAGTGGTATTGTGATGAGGGGTAATTTCATGACCTTGTTAATTTATACCTTTTGATTGATGTACAAGCAAAACTGTATATTGGTGGTCTAATTTAATAGCTTGCATCAAATGACAGCTCTTTCAGGAAATTATGTCAACTTTGGTGTGTTTGAACTATATGGTGACAGAGCTTTATCTGATGCTCTTGATGCTGCTCTAAAGATGACACTCTCAATTCCTATGTCTGATATATTGGCTTATAGGAAGGTATGTAAACTATTTTTCTTGCCATGTATGATATAAGTCCTATGTACACTTCTTCAAATAAAATTTGCAATATTAAAGTAAAGGATATATTATTAAATGAATGCATCGATTAAAAACTATTTAAGAATTTTATTTTGATGAGCAATGAATTTCTTGTAAAAATGATATATATTTTTTAATGCAAGATGATGAGAAATGTTTAAGTAGTTTGGTAATGGCTTGATAACAAATGACTTAATAGGTTCAAAACCATTCATTAGGATAGATTCCAATACTATCTTAGAATTAGTTTGAGCCTTACCGAAATCCAAAAGCTAACTCATGTCATGGGAGGATGGATGCTCCCACTTATGTATAATTTTTAGGCCATATTTATTAATATGGGATCTTCAACATCAAAAACTAACTAAGAATATAGGGGGACCAAATGGTTATGAGTTTACTCTTTATTCCTCTAAATAGATCTTGAATTCTAGCACAAGGTACAGTTTTTTATGCATTGTTCACGGTTCAAGCCCAATAGGCTCGTGTGTGAGTAAAAATATTTTAAATATAAAACCATCTTTGAGCCTTCATTTAACAGTTTATCTAGGTTCTATTTTATCTTGCTCCTGAATTATGTGTCTGGCTAGTTTTTCTGTCTGCTTGCCAAATACTATTAAGGTGGATCTCAATTAATTTTTTTTTATTGTATGCAGCTAACAAGGGCTTATTTTGCATTCCTGGAGGTTTTGTTCAACAGCCACATCACTTTTGTATTAAACTTGGACACAAACACCTTTATGCATATGGTTGGCTCCCTTGAATCTGGACTTAAAGGGTTGGATACAAGTATCTCATCACAGGTTATGGCTACAAAATCTCATTTCAATCTTCCTGTTTTCAGACCAAGTGACATTTTCTATAGCATTTTTTTAGGAGATTTTGTTGGTGTAAATATTTGTATTTGGTTTCTTGTAACAATGCTGCCTTTCTCCAACTCTTGTAATTTCTGATTACAGTGTGCATCTGCTGTTGATAATTTGGCTGCTTTCTATTTTAACAACATCACTATGGGGGAGGCTCCAAATTTACTTGCATCTGTCAATCTTGTTCGGCATATCACAGAGTGTCCCAATCTGTTTCCAGAAGTATGTATTTTTTTATTTATAATTTTACTGTTCACCACTGGGTTAAAATTTCATAGTTTTTTTTTTTCGCTTAGCTTATAATATTATTTGTTTGGAGTCTGGAAAAATTCAGATGTAGTTAATACCATTATGTCCTCATTTTACTACCAATTTTCACATATTGAGTGCAAACCTTCAAATTATGGAATAGAAGTCGTGTTGAGTGCATAACTTATTCAAGTGTACTTTAGAAAGCAAACTACCATTTTAATTTTTGAAATATGTTCATCTTATTCAATTTTCCAGTTTTCCAGTTTACCTGCATCTTATGTTATTTGACTTGGGTGTCTCTCTTTTGCTTGCCAAGATTTTGAAGACCTTATTTGAGATCATATTGTTTGAAGACTGTGGCAACCAATGGAGTCTGAGTAGGCCAATGTTGAGCCTGATACTCATTAATGAGCAGGTATGGGACCTATTCGATCTGTGTTCTATTCTCATTAAATTTACTACAAGCAGTTCTATTTCTATATATAACAAGCTTGGTACATATGATATATACTCTAACTTTGAGTGTAATATTAATGTGCGTTTATTGCTCTCCAGTTTAGACATGGAGTCTTCAGATAATTAATCATGTATCTAGCATAGACTGATTTGCACAACAATTCTAGCCAGACTATTTGATTTTTATTTGACACATACAATTTATAGACTGAGTTGTCATTTACTTGCAGATATTCTCAGATCTGAAAGCTCAAATCTTGTCATCACAGGTATTTTCCATCTAACTCTGGTTTCAAAGTTGGGCTATGAATTTTTTGTTGTGCTTTTTAATCTGGATTACAGATCAGGTATTCACTATTGAGGATATATGGCTGGGGAATGCAGCCTCTCATTCTTTTCTAGTGAATCACCGATCATAGTTATTTTTTCTATCTCTCTACTTGAGAATACCTCAAAGTGGTGGCAATAACTTGCTATAGAAGACTATAGTTGTCCAATTTTTGTTATTGTTATAATATCTTACATTTATTTGGTTGGCTGGAACCTTGTGTTGCTTTTTTCCACTATACTTGTGTGACTCAGGTTGGTTAATTTTTGCAGCCAATGGATCAGCATCAGCGGCTCTCTTCATGCTTCGATAAGCTCATGGCAGATGTTACTCTAAGCATAGATTCAAAAAATAGGGATAAATTCACGCAAAATCTCACCATATTTCGGCATGAATTCCGTGCCAAATAATTCAAATTTATACCAGTAAATATGAGAATGTTTAGTGTCTGTATATTGTCTGTTTGGAGAATCTGCTGCCCTCTGTTCTGGTGGCACCTTGCAACCCTATCATGGAAGAAAGACCCACTTTATGTGATTTCTTCATCTTGGTTGGTTTACATGTAAGAAATGTATTCTTTGTAATTACTGTTCATGCAGTGTGGAAGATCAGGTGTATACTTGTGGTGGTACCGGATAACTCTGTATAATCAGATTTGGATGATTCAAACAAAGTTCAAAGATGATGGAGAAATTTTGAAGATGTAAGTGGTCAGGACAGAAAAGGGTCGTGGACGAGAAAAACTAGTGGATGGATTAAACGGGAACCACCTTAAATGTAGATTGATTGGGTTAGATATATTCTTTTTAGAACTCATGTATATTATTATCTCGATGATATTTGTTTAGAAACATACTAGATATTACTTGATATTTTTATATTATTGATTTCTTTGTATTGTACCCCTCTGGTCAAAACCAGAAGAAAAAATGTGTTTAGATGGTGATAGAATCATAGAAGAGAAAGGCTCATTTTCTTTTCTCAATCTTTTGAAATGTTCGAATATTGTTTTGTAACTAATTGACCTGATAAGAGTTTTCTTTTTCGGCGGGTGGGGTGGGATTGTCTTGAGCATTGTTTTAAGAAAACTAAATTGTGGCAGAAAGTCTGGTAACATGTTAGTTTATGATATCTCTTAATGTATTGCTTTTATATCATCTTTATTGCTTAAAATCTTGAAGAAAAATTAGAAGTGATGTCATGGTCATGCTGAGGGTCTGCGATGAACAAAATAGTTTCTCCATGCTTCAGGGTGGACAAATAGTTTCCTCTCATCTGTAGATCTGTCTATATAGGTGTACTTTTTCACTTAATATTGCTTTCTCTCACTCTTTTCCCGTGCTTATATATAATTGATAAAATCTGAAACTTTGCACAAAAAATTATGCGGTGAAGTTAAAATTATAGTTATATGCAACGCAAATATCAAAGAGTTCTAAATTATTAAAAAAATAAAAAATGGTTATTATAAATAAAAATGCTTATTATAAAAAATGCAAATTATTTAATTAATTACAAAATACAAAATGGTTATAATTATTTCCTGTACAAAAATAATTAAAAATATTTAAAGCAGATATATTAGTTCGTTATTGAAAGTTATTTTTATTCTTACCACTCAAATAAATTAATATCCCTAATCATTCAAATCTTCAAATTGTTAATCACTTATTATATTATTTAATTTTAATTCTTTTATTTAATTTTAAATTTTTTTAAAAATATAAATATAAGTGTTTCGACACTACTAGTATGTAATTTGAATGTTGGCTTTATATGTAATGCAACGCTAAGAAGAATAAATCACAAACCATTTTTAATTAAAAAATGTTGGCTTCAATTTTATTCTAATTTTTATTTGCTGTACGATCAGTGGTTGAACTTTCTTGAACTGGATCAACATGCTCATACCATTGCTGTGGAGGATCAAATTATGCTTGTCTCAGAGTGTGTGAAGACACCACCTAAGAACCGAAACCAACACCAATGGGTAATTTAATATAACTTCCTTTTTACGATCATAACTGAAGTTTTAATTTCAATGTGACCGAGAAGCCTCATTAAATAGGTTCCGACACAAAAGAAAACAAAGATGCTTTGGTAACAAAATTAGATATAGATCACGTCAAGAAGCTACCCTCAGGTCAGCTTGCTTTTAAAAAAGGATAATGCTTTTTGTTTCTTTATTTTCAAAGCTGATTGAAATGATTTGTTCATATGCTCCATATGGGTACATCATAGTAAGACCGAGCTTCTTTTCTCCAAATGTATGATGGACCTAATACTTTAGACATTCAGTCACAAATCTTGTGAGTTTTCTTGTTTGAATAGATGCACGCATTGTGGCATCAGTTCAAAATGCACTCCTATGATGCGCCGAGGGCCATCTGGTCCAAGCTCACTTTGCAACGCCTGTGGCCTTTCTTGGGCAAACAGGGTAGGTTTTCTTCATTTTGCCAAATTATACTTTTATTATTTCTAATTGAAAGAATGAAAATATCGGTAATTTTATAAATTACTTATATTATGTTGTTGCCCTTACTGTACCAGGGTGCCTTCAACAGTAAGAAAGAGGATTAATTTTGGTAAAAGGCGGTCTTATTTCCTCCCATTTAATTTAACAATAAGAGTGTGTTTATTTCATCACTTTAAAATTTATTTTTAAGAATCATGTTTGTTGCAACTTTTGCAAAACTAATCATGGATATTATTGAATTTTGGAAAAGTTGTCCAATCACGTGTTCCTTATTTTTATTCCCACTTACAATTTTTATTCTCATGACTTGGGGTGCAAAAGTAATAACTATATGAGAATATTATAATTTTTTTACACACTTGTAACTTTTGTAATTAATTTTATTTAAATTATTTAGAATTTTAGAAAATATACTTTGAAACATTAAAACATTTTTTTTTTATTTTAAATTTATACTATTTTTTAGTGTTCTAGTATATCTAGTCACATGTCACTTTATAAATATTTTCCCTCAACTCATCGAAACATTTTTTAAAGACAAAATCATGATGGTTCAATGACCATTAAAATAGACAATACTTCAGACATGTTGACTCTAATGATGTCAACAGACTTATGATTAGAACATTAGTACTAATCTCTTAGGAATCAGAACATTGAAAAGATCTTTCATAGATTAAGGTAAACAAGTATCATTACATCTCTCAAGTGTTTAGAGATATTTTGACATACCAAAATAGTAGTTAAACATGATTTTTTTTTTCTAATATACTCAAGAATAATATTTCAAGTAAAATATTCTTGAACATATAATTTAATGAGGATGTACATTATGATAAACAAACACTTCCCAAGTTTTCTTATATTTGTTAAGAAAGGATTTGAAAATTTAATGGTAAAATTGATTGTAATTATTGTAAGATGAGAATGTAAAAGTAGATGAAAAGATAGTATATACAAAAATAATATTTCAAAGTAAAAGTGAGAGTTATCATAGATTTTATCATAATGATAAAAAGTTACATTGAACCTCTTGGAATCCCAAGTAAGGGATATGAGGTAAGGATGGGAAATATCATGAAATTATCTCTCAAGTTATACTTTACATGTCTTCATAGACATTATAAATATATTATTGTTGGTATAAACTTGTAAAAATTTTAAGTGGTGGAAGATAAATTTGACCATCCTATTTTAATTTATTGATTGTTGATTTAAAGATTAAAATTTAAATTCGAACTAAAGTTCTATCATTGGAGAAAAAGTTGAGTTGGGAATTAAAATGGAAGAAATTGAGAAATGAAAATTTTAAGAAGTATCAATGAACCGATCAAGTATTTTGAGGCAAAATTTTCAAATTGAAGACATGCAAATCCATTTTGCATAGCATTGCATGCTTCAATCATTCATGTTGAAGGTCTATAAATAGCATCATTTTATGGAAAATTCTAAGGTGGAGTGCCTTGTTAAATGGTTCATATGTGAGACACCAAAATGAAATATGGAGTTGAGTGGTATACCTGGTATAATTGATTACCAGCCTACAATATATTATATTAAATTGAATGGCTTAGATTGTATGAATTTAATTTACTTATTTGCCCTTTTTAAGTATGTTTTTCTCTGATGCACCTATTTGGAGCCTCCAACACTCTCTCTTCGACCGCATGCTAACTTCCTCAGTTTCCATTATCAACATTGAATCAAAATTGGTTAATTCTACGAAAATATTTTAAGTCTTAGGTGGTATACGAAAATGCAGTGTAGCTGCAATTGGAGTGTACACATGAAATTCAAGAGGATGAGGTAAATACTGCCATTGCCACTTGTGTTGTACCTTAAACCTCACAACTTCCCTAATTTTGTGAAGAAGCTTCCTTTATTACAAGATTCAATTGTAGGAAATGGAAAACCCAAAAAGAGTGAAAAAAGATAGTGAAATTTTTTTCAAGAAAGAGTTTTAATTTAACACAAGTCAAAGAAACTTAAGTTTGAGGGTGAGTTTGGTGATCGAGTTGAATAGAGTACAGGAAATTACTCAAATAAAAAAGAAATGGTTTATTTTGTTGCAACAAGTTGGTCATATGGATGTTAATCCTTGATTTTTCCAGAAACAACCCATGGGAATTTACTTGAACCATGGTGAAGAATATTTTTATAATTTTAAACAAAAATACTAGTATAAAATAAATCTTAAATATTTATTAAAAATTAATATAAAAATATTATTATAACTAATATAAAAATATTTATTAAAAATTAATATAAAAATACTTGATATAATGACAACTAGACCTTCAGCATTTAGAATTTTTAATCAAATTTTTATAAAGTTCAAACAATCATTTCAATTTTTTATTTTTTATTATATTGCAAATAGATCTTTGAATTTTTCTTTCGCCATTTTTTTCTTTTCTTTAATTTTGTTGTTGGAATGTGGAAATTGCTACACTTGTTGTTCTAGTTCATCTATACATTATCAAGGCGATATTATTAAATTTCGGCAGAGTTAATGTTTAACAAGTAAGTTCTAAATTCTAATACTGTTTTTTTTATTTTTAAGTTAAGTGTCAGTTTGAAAGAATATGGTATTTATTTATTATATATTGTAGTCATATGTTATTTATTGCGTTAATAAGATATGATAATATCATTTAATTTTATTCATCAAGTATATTTCTTTCTCTTGAGAGAAAAACAAGTTTAGTAAATAATAAAATAGGATAATCTTACTTTATATATATATATTATTTTTTATAAACATATAAAATTATATAGTATGTTATACTATAACCTGATAAATAAATAAAAAAATAAATTTGTTGAAGTTAAACATGCCAACCCAATAGATTAAATCAATTAAGGATAAAAAAGTAGATTAAGTCAATTTTGTCACCCTAATACGAATTGGTGCCCTTTTTAGGTCAGGGAAAGTTTAACATTATACTAATATATATATATATATATATATATATATATATATATCTGATT